AAAAAAAAAAAAAAAAAAAAAAAAAAAAAAAAAAAAAACCTCTTTTTCAGATATTAGATTTCCCAGAGACAGGGAGGCTTGTGGTAAAGTTCTCTCCTGAGAGATCTAGTTTTGCCTCATGGTATTCCTAGCCATGTGACCTTGAGCACATTACTATTATTTGCTGAGCCTTAGTTTCTTCATCTGTAGAATTTCAATAAAACCATCCACTTGAGTGATCTGCAAACCTGGCTGATCATCAGAGTTACCTGGGAACTTAACTCCAGATTCCCAGGCCTTACCTAAGACCCACTGAATCTAGGTTTGAGAATCCTTGACTTACCTCTCATGAGATTACTGTGAGGTTTAAATGAAATTATGTATACAAAGTGGGTATCCCAATGCCTGCTGTGTGCATGTTCAATAAATGCGGGCTATTAGAAGTATTAACTTCTTTAATTCATTCAGCAAATAGCTACTGAATATTTACTATGTGCAATGCACTGGAGTAGGTGCTAGGAATAAGATAGATATGGACTCTGCCTCCATGGGGCTGGCATTCTTGCAGGAGAGATCAGAGATTAAACAACTAATTACACAGTTAACTGTTAATTATAATAGTGACGAGTGCCCTGAAGGGGAGTACAAGTTGCTGTGAGAGGTGTATAACAAAAGGCCTGACCTATGCTAAAGATTCCCAAATTCCTGTTTCCAGTTTCCAACTCCAGATTCCCATAGCTAACTGCCTGTTGGATATCTCCTCATGAAAGCTTGCTGGTCTTCAAATACTGTATATCTGAAAGTGAACTTGTTATCCTCCTCTTGTCCCCCCCCATCCCACTTCTTGATCTTGACCCACCTGTTTTATGTTCGTCTGCTTGTGCAATTCTCTCTTCCTGGAATTTCCTCCCCTGCTCCTACTTCAACTATTGAAATCCTTAAGGCTCAAATGCCACCTCCTCCATGAAGCCTTTCCTGGTATCTCCAATGTGAAGTGATCCATCCCTTCCATGACCTCCTCTCCTTCTATCCATAGCCTTTGCAGCACATACATGGCTCATAATTACCTCCCATCTTCTGCTGTAATTATTTGTGTGCTTGTCTACACTGAATTGGAAGCCCCTTGAGCACAAGTTGTCTTCTCACATCTGTGTATCTCTCTGGACATCTAGCACAGTATTAAACACATGTGAGGTGAAAACAATGGTTGAAAACACCTTCCTTTACAACCACTTGGGAAAAGTCTTTGGCGTGACACCAAGAGTGAAATCCATAAAAGAAAAAAAAAAAATCAATACATTTCATCAAAATTAAAATCTTTTGCTCTGCAAAAGGCCCTGTTAAGAAGATGAAAAGACCAGCCACAGTCTGGGAGAAAATATTTTTGAACCACAACAAAGGATTTGTATCTGGAATATATAAAGAACTCTAAATATAACAGGAAGAAAACAAACATTAGAAAATGGGCAAAAGACTTGAACAGATATTTCATCAAAGGGAATATACAGATGGAAAATAAGCACGTGAAAATGTATTTAACATCACTAGCCTTTAGGGAAATGCAAATTGAAAACATAATGATATACTGCATACCTCCTAGAGCAGCTGAGACACACAATATTGATAATACCAAGTGCTTA